GATGATTAATTTGCCAATCCGTTTGGCTGGCTCAGCTAATGCGCTCGACAGCAGCCTAATTGTCTAAAACAATTTATGAGGGTCTCTGGCGCTTATTTCAGTTAGCAGTTTATAAATACTTTTGCCCTTTGGTAATTCCTCATTCGAAACGTAACGAGCTGGGCAATTAATTAGCTAATGAAATTACTTTTGAGTGGCTCACAACCTTTGGCAATACAACTTGTTGACACTTTTTTTTTGGCGGCAAAGTTCTTGGAAGTGTTTTTCGTTTCGTGTTTTCACCAATTACATTTCCCTTTTTGGCAAGCCTTTAAAACCCGGTTAACCTGCCCTTGGGCCACATTTGCAACGTGTCGCATAATTAGCGGCAACAAAGCTCGAAAACTTAAATGCTGTACATTACTCATGGATTTCTTGCAGTCCGAGGAAGAGCTTAAAGTGTTTGGCCTTTGTGTTGACAAAGGCATTAAATAATTATGTGCTTAAAACGGCTCATTAGCGACTTAGGCTGTTAAAGTAGTATTTCCTTGCACTAAACGGAGGGTATTATTTTAATTGGAAACAAATTTAATTTAATTTTTTTTTTAAATTTAATATTTCCTTGATTAGAAGTTTAATTTAGTTTCATTTAAATTAAATTTAAAAAAAATGTCTTAAATACAGTCCACATGGTAAATATGAACTTTGCATAATGAAACTGCAAAATATCGTTTTGACCTTTTCGTATTATTTATTCATTCGCCTAAATCTCGTTGTAATAAGCTTATGGGATCAGCCTTTGGAAGCTGTCAAAATTTGATTTCAGATAAAATGCCACACTTTGCATTGGGCGAAATGTCACCATGAATCAGATGGAATCCAAACCGCGGGGAAACTAGTGAGGCTGCAGCCAATAAATCATGGTTAGTCTGTGGCCCATAAACAGCAAATAGAAACATATTGCCTGTGTGCGCTGCGCTCTTCGATTTTGTCGCCGACTGCACATTGTGTATACGCCACGTTGACGAAAGCTCATTAGTGTCGCTGCGTTGTTTTTAAATGGGCGTGTGAAGTCCGCCCCCTATTTTCGCTGTGGGCGAAGGACTTCAATCAAGGTTGTCAGCTCATCAAACTGATTTAATGTTGGACCCACGTACAAGCAATTAAACTGGTTTACCAACTAAGCAATTATCACAATTATGGATGGTCTCACTGCCCATGAGCACGTGCACTCTTAATAAAGCGACTTGATGAACTAGATTATAGGTGAAGTTCACTGATATCCGACATGCATACCGCGAACTAGACTAAAGCCAGAAATTACACCCCAATTGGCCATAAATTGCGGAGAAGCAATCTTCAGGACAGAAAGGCGACACAAATTCTAGCCAATTCTCCTCCATATTTACTTATCACATTCAAATGGCACAGAAGAGAAGAAAAACCAAAGAGGAGCCAACAAAGCAATTGTATGGCATCTGGCGGAAATGAAGGATGGGCCAGGAAGGGCATCAAATTACTTGGCTTGGTCGCAAAGTGGTTAATTTTGGGTTTGGTTGGTCGGTTCTTAGGGGCGGTCTAAGCCAATTTGCTTCATATTGTGCAGTGAATAAATATAGTTGAGATGTTGTTTTGGGCTTTTCGAGTGCTCCAGATTTGTTTATTCGGGCTTAGCCTGTTGATAGAGTGCATTGGAAGCAGTCCTTGGTCGGGATTTAAGGGGATTAAGTTCTTATGGCATGTTTAAAATAAATATTTAAGTGGCTTTTTCTTCTTTTTTGAAGTTGTGACGCACTTGATAAGATTTAAGCTGGCAAAGTGAGCAAATTTCTTCTTTTATTTATTTATTTTAGTGCTTGTAAATTTGTTTAGCTTCAAAAAAATGTGGTTCTTTTAAATATTGCAGTTAAACAAAGACATTTCTTAATTTATTAAAGAGATTCCAGTACATGAAAATTCAATAAGAAATCGTTTAGAACGAGGATGACCGTTGAAATGGAGAAACCCAGAGGACACATTGCCAGCTAGACTGTACTAGGCCATCCATTACGAATGTTTGCACACTATCCAGTTGAATAATTCACTCCGAAGTCTACCCCCTTTTTTTGCGGCCATTCGTTTACCCTTTTCTCAGCCATCTCAGCGTATTCTGACAGCCAGGAGCCAGTTGAGAATGTAATAAAGAGCTTACAATTTATGACACCTTTTCCAGGAGTGCCAGCATTTTGCAAGAAAGGACGCCCCCGTATCACCTGCTTTTGAAAAGGCGGAGTTCACCTGTTGATTGCCACCTGTCATCTCTGCATATTTTATCATTCTCCGTTTTTGGTCAGGAAACAATGTCTGGATTTGTGTCTCACTGGCCTCACAATTAAATAAGACATTTCTAGTCCCAGCCTAATAACATAATCTAGTGGGATATAAAAGGTGTAACTATCCTGCCTCTCGTATTAATTTCATTATCTTTTGTGTCCTTGGGCCTTCTTCTGTCAGTTTAATTTGCTGGAAAATTGCATGGGGCAGCTAATTAGGTTTTGCCAGGCAGGATAAATTATTTGACAGGTTCGGCCCCCATTTGACCTAACCACCGAGGCAATGGAAATGTCTCTTACTATTCCGTTTCTTTTTTCCATGTTATTGTGTCAACGTCTTCATTTGATTGTTTTCATTTGTTTCGGCTTGTTTGTGCGATTGCGTGTTTGTGGGTGCCCCAAATTGTGGCATTGACATTCGCCGGAAGCCAAGGAAAAACATTTGCCGACGGCTTCTGCTTCTGCCCGACACTTCTGTCTGGCATTTGTAAATCAGTTTTCACCCGTGGTCCAAGCCTCGATTTCATTGTTGACTTGCCAACTCGAATCAATACTGCCTATACACACATGTGGTTTCAATTAAATTTAAATTTGAGTTTGAACAAATTCGATATGCTTCGATTTAAACTTTCTGGCAGGATAAATTACCGCAAAGGCCAAAAATAGAACCAGATTTTTTTTCGCTGGTAAAATTAGCATTTTTGTCTTAAATTTTAAGAGTTGAGTTGCTTTTTTAAAATCAAAATCGCTGTTTTGTGTACCAATTCAATTAAATATTTATGCCCGCTTACTTACTTTGCAAAACTTTTAAATATTTATGTGACGCAATATAATTTGCAGGCAATTAAATTAGCCGAGATTGATAAATGTGTCAAAATTAATTCTAAAATGTATACACATCATTTTAATTAATGCAATTTCCGATGCTTTATTGTGGTTATGCCTCACCTGTTGGAATTATTTATGCAAATTGACTAGGCCAACAAATGTTGGCAACGGATGTGTGTGATGGGCGGAAACGGATGACAAATGTTCTAATAACTTTACTTTGGCAAGGTGTGCAAGGTGATTTAAGTATGAGCTCTCGACGTCACACGGTCGCTATTTTTGGCTGAACGAAAGTGCAGGATCTTAAATAACTAACGAACAAATGAAAAATGTAAAATGTTACTTAGCAACATTTGGGGGTAGAAGGATAGCTTTCACTGTGGCCACTGGAACAAGGAAAAACACTCGCAACTCACTCTGCATAATGAATGAGAAACTTTTGGAAAAAGTCGTGGGTTCTGTTCTGGAATAAGGAATGTCCTGCATTGCGTCAATGCAAAAGTATTGATAAAACAAGAAATAAATGGATTTTAAGAGATCCAAAAGTCAAACCAGTCAAAAATGTGGAACAAATTTTTTAAACCACTTATTTAAAAGTTATGAGCAAAAAAAGGAATTTTCCCCTAGATGGCGCCACTTTGAGTGACTGCCTTCTCTGCTACTTGGTATTTGATAGTCAGTGCCTCGACTATCAAATACTATAACTTTCCATAAATATCAACCCCAACATTCAATATCCCTTCAATTAAGGGTAAATTTAATGCATTTTGTCAATATCCAACAAGCAGGATTGTTGCTTTTCATTAATATGCATTTAATTATTATGTCAATATTATGTAATGTGTCTCTTTGAATAAATTAATTTCAACACCATTGCGATTATCTTTAAATATTTACGAATGTCAGCGTTAATACGTTTGTAATGCTATTAGCCAAGCGGCTCAGAAAAAGTATGTTATTGGATCTTTTTGCCATCACTCCGAAATCCCTGTTCAGATTATCATCTACAAGGGGCGTGCTCAATCTGTCATGCGAAATGTTGTTTAAAATACTCGACTCCTGTCTTGTAATTTCATCTGCTTCTGTTACCGCTTTTTGTTGGCCATATGTCATTAAAGTTCACGCCATGCTGAGAGGCACGCCCACAAATTCTATAATTTTCTTCTATCAAGTGACGGCAATCTTTATTTGAGTTCTTGTGTGGGCTTGTTTCTTTTCCTGTCAGGTAATGATAATGTTTTGCCTACTTGGCATATCCTTATTTGGTTCATGGGTTCTCTTTGCTCTTAGTAAAATGTAAACCTAATGTTTAATTTTTGCACCCAAAAGAAACCTTTAAATGAAATAACAAATAGGGGGCAAAGAAACCCTTACCACAAATCATAGCAAAGGGCTAAAATTTGGTTCGGTTAAAGCCCCTTAGACAGTATTTTCTTACACTGTTGTGAGGAGTTGTTAAAAGGTTTTAGACCAGTCTACACTAACACAGCCGAAAAAAATTGATTGACAATTATTGATATTTTATGAGTTTTGTTCAACAAAGTAGCTGATGTCCTTTTGATATGGGTGACAGGGGTCTTGGGTTGACATTAAGCGTACATCGATTGTAGAAAAAGTATTCGAAATGCTTGGTAAATATTGCGTCTTGATACTGGAATCGTTTGTATTCGGTGGAACTATATTGAATCAAAAATATAATTTTTTTTGCATTATTAACAAACGTGGTAAGTGAAATATTAATAAAGATTAAACACCACCACATTTTTATACTTTCTTTATGTTGAAAAAACTTTTGCATTATTTGAGTGATAAAACTTTTTCATGGAAATTAAAGTGATACATTTTTAGAATTGAATTAAAGTTTAAGTTGTTTTAACTTACCTGTGTGTATAATGTAACGCGGTTTCACTTAACCGCTTCTTTTATTTAAAATTTAAATCGAGTTTTAGTTAAAGTTTATGCAAAGATATTCTTCAGATTGCGAGCACTGATTTAACTGGATTTTTACTTTTCACAATGTCCGGAATTCAAGGGAAAAGTGCCTTAAAAAGTTTTTCAATTAAGTTTGGAATTTGAACCAATGAGAGCGCACAAATGTATGCCACTCTTTTTGCACCTGCAAATCGACTGAATGAATGACAACTGACCAAACGGAAAAACTGAGGATCGCACGAAAAGGTGTTAAAAACTGTGTTTTTTGAAACTGTTTAATCGGTTAGCCGTTAGCAAGTTGATTGGCTGGTGGTAAGTTGAGATTCCTTCGAAGCGCGCCGAACGAATGCAACGGCCACGAGGAGAACGACTTGTTTTATAGCCAGCCGTAAAAGCCGAATTCCTCCCGAAACGCCACGAAGTTGATGATGTCGGCATACAGTTCAACTTCAACTGGTTGCTCCTGTTGCTTCTTCAATCGAAAGCTCTCCCTGCTAACCGGCTACCCGAGGTTTGGGTCCTGACTAATGGTGACCGCTTTGCCGCCCACGCATTTGTAATACCCATTAGTGGTAGAATAAAATGGTTATATTGTTTGGGGAAAAATTTGAGAAACGGTATGAACTTTAACTTTTTGGTTACCAATTTGAAATTGACAACATAAAGTTTGTACTCTTTTTTCAGGTCGTTGTGTTAAAATGCAAGAAACTCGCATTTAGAAATAGGTCGATTTAATCACTAATAGTTTGTCAGAATCTTTAGAGATTTATCTTTTATTTTTGTTTATCCGAACAATTTAAATTCAAGTTAACCTTTTCCGATTAATAAGAAACCAGAACTAACATGACATTGAAAAATGGGCATTTTAAAAGAAATTATTTTTTTTCCCGCCATATATATATTTTACAATAACATAATTTTTAATACATTAGAGGATATCTCATAGTCGACTTTCACCGAATTGAGCTTTCCTTATTTTTGTTGTCCTGTTTATGGTTGTTGCCGTGACGTCAACGCGTTGATTTAAAGCTGTGCTAGCTGTCTGCCATTCGCTGGATTCAGAATTGGCCAAGTTGTTGTAGAGCTTGTTTTTGTAGAGCTGGTCACCTACGCACACATATCGGTAGGCGGCGCCTACGCTGGGACTCCCAAAGCTAAAGGAATGCAGGATATAGATAGTCGGACATTTTGGCCTTTACGCGTTCATATTTGTAGTGAGATTTAATCCACCATTCGGGTTGTCCCCATCTCAAATTTCATTTTCACAGCTGTATTTATTTTTCATTTTTGACATTCGAACTCTTAATGAGCAAAGAAATTTATTAAATCAACGCTGTAATTAATACTATGTAAAGAAAATTTTTCAAAAGTCATACGATTAGAAAACTCTGAAAAACATAAGCATATTACAAATAATCTTATAATATAAGAATTATCATTACCTTTGCGATAATCAAGTTTTGTTTACGATGGGAATTGAAATTGATAAGAAAAATCGAATGTTAGACTTATTGCGATAAGTATTGTCAATTTGTTCGTTAGGGTTTCCTATTGATATAACATCCGTGCCTTGGAAACACCATATGTGTTCCTCAAACGTATATTTTGTATCGCTTCGTAATTAAAGCCGATAAGATCTCACTTTATAATTTCAACAGCTTTGTTTGGTTCTTGCAAAAAGAGATAAGACAACAAGAAACACTAGTTTGCAAATTATTAGTTCAATTCAAATTCTTGAGTATATTATTTTTTGGTGCACAATGTGCACCTTGATGTTCACGCACAGAACTTTTTTCCCATATCTGCGGATCTGTTTATCTACATTTGATGAAACTTAAATTACATTTTAGTTTAAAGGGTCTTTATATTTTGTGGACTAGTGTTGAATAGAAAACCGATAGCCAGCAGTATAAATACGCAGAAAGAGTCACATTTACTTTAGTTTCTATTCTACCGCTGTTTAAGCAACGTACCAGTTAAGAACAAGTTCACGATGACCTCTAACACAAAAGATGGAATCACCATACGCATAATGACCGAAGAAGACTATAAAAATGTGAAAGTATTCATGGATGATGACTTCTTCAAGTCGGAACCTCTGTGCCAAGCCAGCGGAGAAGACGTTCAGCGGCAAAACGAGGAGGAGAACGACGAGTATCACCTGTCGATGATCGCCCAGGGCACCTGTTTGGTGGCCCTCGATGAGAACAACGGCGGACGACTGGTGGGATTCGTTCTGGCCGGAGCCCAGTTCCCCGAGGATGTGGAACAGCATCGCATTGAGGCGGAGGCCATGGAGCAGCACACCTGGGGACGCATTTGCACCTTGCTCTCCAAAATCGAACAGGAGGCGAATCTGTTTGGGCGCTTTGGCATTTCGAAAGTGCTCTATTCCCACATTACCAGCGTGGATACTTCGATGAGGGGCAAAGGACTGGGCTCACGACTCGCCGCCACTCTGATGGAGGTGGGCCGATCCAAAGGATTCCCGGCAATGGTGGCCTACTGCACCAGCTTCTTCTCCGCCCGCCAAAAGGAGGCGCTGGGGATGCAGTGCATCTACTCGCTCACCTACGCCGACTACAAGGATGCCGAAGGACGACCGATCTTCACACCCGCTGCGCCGCACACAATGGCCCGAGTTATGGCTATTAAGCTTTAATAGAAATACCACTTTAAAAATAATCTCTAGGTACAAAATAATGGAACAATAACGGGAGCTAGCGAATTTAAATGTGACTAGAATAGTTAGAAAAAAAGAAATAATAATGAAATTAAATATATACAGCAATATCTTAAAATAATATTGTATTCTTTATGAGTTAACTTTGAAAAGGAGAGAAAATTGTCTTCAATTTTTTTATCATATTGTATCATATTGAAAATATTGCTCTAGATAACACGAACCCATGTGCTAAAAAAGCTAATAAAAATTAGGATCTTGACAGAAGCTGTATGAAATAATTTGTTTAAATTTATATAATGGTTATTTACCACCTTATCTTTGTGATTATTCAATTGTTGGTCCAAATAATCCTTAACTAAATTTGGCACTTATTCCACCAATAAAAAATAATAAGTAATGCTTTTAAATGATATGCTTTTTAAAGCTTGTAGTAAATGTTTATGCTTTGATAAGATGCTCTTAAGCCTCTGTCTATGTTTACCTTAGACAACGTATCTGAGATAATATCAATTTTGGCAATCTCAGCTCCATGTGCCGTTTTGCACAAACAGTCTTTAACCGGCCTTTTGGCAAAAGAGGTCGCCAATAATGGACAACTATAGATTCGGTGTGGTTGACTACACCGTGTTTATGGGTATGACCATAATATCCATCATCACAGGATTGTATTACGGATGGATAAAGTGAGTAGAAGCATATGATTACAATTACAATTTTAATTGCTTATTCTTAATTTACAGAAAGACCAAGAAGAATGCAGAACTTACACAGCCAACTGTTGATTCCCCTGAAAAATTCATGTCGACTCTTGGATCGAAAAAGATGAACGAGTATTTTATGGGTTCCGGCAATCTGAAAGTTGTACCTGTTGGAATGAGTTTAATAGCCAGGTGAAGTGATCAGAATTCAATAATACCTATACCATTTTTTTAACCTCTTTCTTATTTCCAGCTTTATTGCGGGCATTACATTACTGGGAACGCCTTCAGAGATTTACTATTACGGCACTCAATATTGGCTGATTATCATAGCAATTATTATTCAAGGATTTATCGTTTCTTATATCTACTTGCCGGTGTTTTCGGCTCTTCAAGTGCACTCTTCATATGAGGTTAGTGGCCCCCAAAATTTTGTTTGTATATATTCTTAACCATTTACTATAATAATTAGTACTTGGAAATGCGTTTTCACTCGATTATACGAAGTATAGCTTCTATATTGTTCGTCATTGAAGTGGTTAGTTCAGCTTCATTCCAAATCCTTTATTTGTATTAACGGATAAGTCTTTTTTAGGTGCTATATACGCCTTTTGTCGTCTTTGTTCCCGCCCTTGCATTGAATCAGGGTAAGTTTTATGGAAATGCCCTTTGTCATATTAAAATTATTTTTTTCTTAACCACAGTTACTGGCATTAATATTTATCTAATAGAAGTGGTGACTATTGTAGTCTGCGTTATTTATACTTTATTGGTATGACATTTGTTATTTTATTTATTTTTAATTTATAATAATTTAATCTTTAATCGTTTATCTGCAGGGCGGTCTAAAGGCGGTGGTTCATACAGATATCTGGCAAGTAGCAATCATGTTCCTATCTGTCCTAGTTGTGGCTATACTTGCGACCTGTTCTATCAGCGATCTAGATAACCTCTTTGAAGAATTGGAGGAAGGGGGTCGACTTATATTTGGCAACGTTAATCCCTCGCCGTATGTGCGTAACACCGTTTGGAGTGTCCTAATCGGAGGTACTTTCTACTGGGGCTCAGTTAATGCTGTGAATCAGGCCATGGTCCATCGTTATATGTCTTTGCCTTCCTTAAAAATGGCTCGAGCTTCCATTGCCTTTTTTGTCATTGGATCTGTGATATTTTATTCCGTTCTCTGCTTTTTGGGATTGCTAATATTTCATATGTACAAGGATTGTGATCCGTTGAGCGCAGGACATATTATGGTGGGTATGGAGTACTTTTTAGTAATAACTAAATAAATATATATTATTTTATCCATACAGAACAACGATCAGCTGGTGCCCCTCTTCGTGGTTCAGAGTGTCGGTCATATCTATGGAATCCCAGGACTTTTTATAGCTGGTATTTTTGGAGCAGGTCTCAGTTCCCTTTCTGTACTTTTAAACTCCACTTCCCTGGTACTTCTACAGGATATAGTGCGTGGTTGTTTCAAAATGCAGCCAGGTGAAAAGGCATCCGCGATTTTCGTGAAATCTAGTATTGTTGTTATGGGTGCCATAGCTTTTGCTTTGGTATTTGTCATCGAAAAAGTGAGTGGGGTCCTGAGTATCTGCATGTCGTTAGTGGCCATTGCAACAAGTTCCACTTTCGGAATCTTCACCCTGGGAATGCTGGTTCCCTGGGCAAATACGGTTGGCACCCTAGTGGGTGGAATCACCGGCTTCCTCTTGACCGGATGGATAACTTTTGGATCGCAAGTTGCTGCGGCATCGGGACAACTGAATTCCCAGATACTTCCGGTGTCCGTCGAAGGTTGTTTGGGTAATGTTACTCTCCCTGAGAAAGTGTGGGTGGACGAGAAGGAAGTGTTTCCACTGTACCGTCTTTCATTCCACTGGATAAATCCCATTGGTGTGCTTACAGTGGTCGTCGTGGGTTCTCTGGTTTCACTGGTGACCAAACCCACAGATATCAAGACTCTCGATTCAAAATTGATGTCTCCAGTCATCCATAGGTAATATGAACGATTTTAAAAAAGCTATTGAACAAGGCATTACTTAAGAAACACTATTTTCAGATTTCTTCCTAAAGAATGCTTCAAACGTCATGAGAAGTCGGCCAAGGATACTTCTAGTATCAGTTAATATAAATTTAATTTATTTTTATATTCGATAAATGTCTATAATATAGATTGTATATGGTATATTCTTACTTTATTAATTTAAATATGTTGAGTAAATTAAAGAATAAAAGAGAAACTGAAACATACATATGTCCTAAGCTAGAACTAAGAATAAACTGGGTCATGGAAGCAGAAAAGATCATAAATGTTTATGATTGTGATCTATAAAATGCACACAGACATTGTTATCGCGCTGTAAAACTTAATTTATCAAATTGTTTTACCATTAATAAAATTGGGTAAAGATAAGAGTTAACTGTTTAGATGTTCATTTATTGCGTCTACTACAGATAACAAATCTTAGATTTAGGTTTGCAGTTTGATTTGCCTATTTATTATGTGCTCATTTTAGATTTATTTTCTTATTGATATATCATACGTAACTTAACAAAACCATTTGAAAATTTATTATTTGTGTGGACTCTTTATCGCTTCCTAATTAAAGCCGATAAGATTTTGCTTTCAATTTTCCACACCTTTAATTTGTTTGTTGGGAAAAGCGATAAGACGATAAGGCAATAAATATAAACATATCACTGTGGACGGTAGTCCACGTAGTGACGAAGAGCACCAGGAGAGTGTCCGAAGGCGACTAATATTTGAAAGTTTGCTTTGATGGTCCGTAACGAGTGATACCCCAATTGAATGGGACCGAAATAACTAAAGGGATTGCATATCAAAACTTTGATACTTGATAATATTAAATTAACAATATTTTAAAAAGAGTATTTGTTTTGTAGACTAGTGTTAAGATAAGGAATTTATAACCAGTTATGTGTATAAATGAACTAAAAAGAGCAACATTTCCTCTAGTTTCTATTCTGCTGGCATAAAAGCAACTTGCAAGTTGAAATCAAGTTCACGATGACCTCTAATATAACGGATGGTGTTACCATTCGGATCATGAACAAAGGAGACTATATAGATCTAAAAGCCTTCATGAGGGATGACTTCTTCAAGTCGGAGCCTCTGTGCCAAATCAGCGGAGAAGACGTTTAAAAGCAAAACGAGAAGGAGAACGATGAAAATCACCTGTCGATGATCGCCCAGGGCACCTGTTTGTTGGCCCTCGATGAGAACAACGGCGGACGACTAGTGGGATTCGTCCTAGCCGGAGCCCAGTTCCCCGAGGATGTGGAACAGCATCGCATTGGAGCTGAAAAAATGGATCAAAACACTTGGGGAAATACTAGCAGGATGCTCTCAAAAATTGAACGGGAAGCCAATATTTTTGAGCGCTTTGGCGTATCGAAAGTCCTCTACTCCCACATTACCAGTGTGGCTACTTCGATGAGGGGCCGAGGACTTGGCTCACGACTAGCCGCTACTTTGATGGATGTGGGCCGATCCAAAGGATTCCCGGCGATGGTGGCCTACTGTACGAGTTTCTACTCTGCCCGCCAAAAGGAGGCCCTAGGGATGCAATGCGTCCATTCCCTCGCCTACGCCGACTATAAAGACGCCGAAGGTCGACCGATCTTCACACCCTTTGCGCCGCACACAATGGCCAGTACAATGTAAAAATGAACTACATTTCCTTTAGTTTCTATTCTACCGGCATAAAAGCAACAAGCGCAATTTTACGATAGGGCAAGGGACTAGGCACCCAACACGTCGCCACTCCCATTCCCAGCGATGGTGTCCTTCTGCACGAGCTTCTTCTCCGCATGCCAAAAGCTTTGGGGATGCAGTGCATCCATTCCCTTGTCTACGCTGATTATAAGAACGTTGAAAGACGACCGATCTTTACACCCGCTGCTCCACACACAATGTAGCGAGTTATGGCCATAAAACTGTGATAATAATGTGACTTGTGCTGCAAAAGGATAATAAGTAAATATATATAATAAATATGCCAACATTTAACATTGCCTTGATAAAACCTTGAAAAATAAAATCAAATGTTTAAAATGTACATGTTAACTGAAGTTAATTTACTCAATTTTACCTTACATTCTTTTTACTTTATTTATTTTTTCACCATTATTAGCTTGCAAAGCTTTTTGATGAAAGTTTCCAAAGGTTTAGGTATTTGTTTGCCTTTTTAAATGCTCAAGCTTCAAAGTTTTAACTGAGTTTTTATAAATTTTAATAAACATAAAACCGTTAAGACTTTTTTTGGGGGTTTTTTATCATTAGTTTTAAGGTTAAATTAAATTAGTTAGTAGCAAACGTTTACATTTTAAGCCACGAAAACTATAGGTATTTCTAAGTTACGGAAATATATTTTTATATTTTAAAATAATCTAGAGTACTCTACTCATTTTTTTAATTTTAGATATATACCTACCAGGTTCTTTATAAAATATATTAAAAAATCGATTTGTTAAAATAATTAAATAGTTGAAAAATAAAAGATAAGAATAATATTTTTATGGGGGTGGCTTTTTTCTTTTCTTAAATTAAAATAAAAACTTTAACGTTGTATATTTGTCAAAAGTTCAAGGCTACTTACTTATAATAATAAATATTTTTTTTAACTGACGTTTTATTTGTGAATAAAAAATGCTAGTGGCTGAAGTGGTATATGAATTCACCTTTTCAACAGCTTACACCCACTTGTAATTCGTTATTTGACCGTAGGCCTAACAACAACCTTTACCAACTACCGAAAAAAAAAAACTTGATAGCCGACGCATATCAATTAAATACTTCAAGCCAACGGCCATAACTTGACGGCTCAATTAGCCAAAACCCCCGACCAGAGACGACCGACCACCTCCTGGTAATCACGGGAAGGTGTGAAAAATCACATGGAAGCGGAATTAATTGAAAACCCAATCGGGGTCCCCGATCCGATCACTCCCATGGAAATCCAGGATGGGGCCGAATCGTTAACTATGATTTGCAGGCCGTGCAACAGGCAAAAGCCTCGTTACGTGATGTTCCTGCTCCTGCTGGGCGAGGGCCCCGAATGGATAATGATAATTTCGCATGACGCTTTCCGCTTTCCGCTCGACTGTTCCGCCGCTGTTGTAAAATTTTATCGCCAAAACATGACGGGCAAATCAATTTTTATTATTTTATCGTCATCGACGCCTGCTTAAGCTGCTTAAAGAATCTTCTTCTCGGGCGGCAAAAGGCGATGGCGAGACTTTTGTGCGAGTCCCGCGAATCTAGCTCATAACTAAGCCCCCAATCATCGGCGGGGAGGGCATCCTCCTAGACAGAAGAACATCCCGACAGAACCAGAACAATAGAGCCGAGTGCCCGCCACTCCGACCCCAACAATGCGCTAAATCATTATCAGTAATTATGCATTGTTCGCCCCTTGACAATGCAACTCATCTGGGAGGATATATGGGCTCTGTCTGCCTGCCTTTTGCTTGCGCTTTTCCATTTACTTTTTACCATTTTAATTTTGTATTTTTCATTTTTCCTTTTTTAATATTTTTGATTGATTTCGCTGATTGCAGTTGGCCTTGAGCTGCCCTTGTTCTATTAATAGGCCCGCCAATCCTCTGAGCAGCCTCCCACCTCATCGGGTGGGTCTTTCAAACACCTAAACTCGCCTGGAGCTGCATAATTTATGTGCTGCGAGCAAACATTTTTGTGCAATTAAACAAGCAGCTAATGCGATTTTCAGATACGTCAAACAAGCCACAGACTGGCGAAGGAAAATAGGGGCCAAGATGTTGGCCTATTTGGCGAGTAATTTCCAAATTAAGTGATAACACACAGCAGGGGGCCAAAACTCGAGGAGATGAACCTCATAAATCACTCAACTGTTGCTCCCAGGATGGTTTGTGTATTTGCTAAGGGTTCTTGAGAGACCCTAATCTTTAAGAGGCTGCTATCTATTCGCCTACAGCTAAAATATAAATAGTTTGCATGGGTAGATGATAAAGTTCTGTTTACCACAGTTATTGGAAAAATTGTAAGTCAATCCTTAGACTTCTTTAGTTGTTCCAATATTAAATGCAACTCTCGCTTAGGTTTCACTGGAGTTTCACTTTTTCAACTTCGTTTTTCCACACAAACACTTAAAGAAAAACCCTGGATTAATGATCAATATAAAAATATTGTTTTTTCGGAATAATAAATGTTAATAGTTCGCTTATTTAATGATTTTGAAAATTGTTAGCTTTTAAGTATTATATAAAAATGTTATAAGCAATTTTGTCAAAGTGACTAGCGCAGTAATAATAAGCTTACGCTTGCATTAAAATCCATTATAATTAACTAAACTTAAAAATTAATGTAGCAATCAGATAAAGCATCTCAATATCAAAACTGGTGATAGCACAAATATTCTCAACTAAAGAACTTTTACCCCAGTGCACCATTGACGTAGCAGGGTAATAAATTAAACTGCATTTGGCTATTTTTGTGGTCATTAGGCACGACTGCAGTTTGTCTGTTTTTGGTCTTGGGCCTATAACCGATGGTCCCTCGACCGACTAGCAGCTCCTCCGATTGCCTCCCAGTTGAGCCCAGCCAGAACCGTAGGACCTGGAGCGATGCAGGCCACTATCGGCCACAGGTTTTAATGAAGTCTCGCCCAAAGTTCCATAAGTTCCATATGTCTGCCGGAGATGCGGAGGTGAGCTGAGTTATGCCTCGACAGGCATTTGCTTCATGTGCAAATGGCATTATGAGTTATGTGTCTGTGGTTCCGCGGAGGATGGCTTAATTTCTCGTCATCGTCGTCATCCTCATCGCCCCGCGAAATTTCTCCCACAGAGCCGCGCGCAGTTCAATTAACATAATTAATGTGAGCGACTGTTTCGTCTTTGCTTGTCAGGTTGGAAACTTGGTGGAATATTTTTGGATCGGTTTACGCATTGTTACAACTCAATTCGAGTTGTCTGCACCTCTGACACCCGTCTTAATGAGCAATTAACTGGAACTGCGCTTTAAGCTAGGAGCAGACATGGGAAATAATTCATTTCTGGTTTTACCCCAGGTGTAATTGTTTTGCCACCTACTTAATGACTCACTTGTAATGGTATATTCGCCATTAACTAAGTATAATCATGGTTGTTCTTTAAATCTTT